ATACAATCTAAAAATGATCTAAAGGATGATATTTAATGAGCATTAAATTAGCCGGCATTTAATTGTTTTACTACTCTGAATTATTAGTATTGCAATTTTCTTATAAAGTGATGACAAGGGTAGTTGCTTTACAATCCCAAAGAATATAGAGATTTTATTAATTAGAAAAAAATAATTTAGCATTTAATCCAACCATTTAAAATAATTTTTAGACAGCTATAATTGAATATTTCATTTTGTAAAAGTGCGCATATTATATTAATCAGATTTTATTGGCTTAATTGAATTTGATTTTCGACACCATTACATTCATATATCCTTCTAAAAATCATAGATTGTAATTTATTATTAGAACGTCAAAATATTAACTAGAATCTAAATTTGAAAATAATATAAAAAATTTTTAAATCGAAATTAAAATGGTTTATTAAACCAACCTCATATTATATTAAAATATTTATCAATTCTATAAGTACGGTAACTGAACAAATAAAATGCCAATGCAAAAAATTTAGGATACAGTTTTTCTTCATCAAATGACACAACTTGGATTCTCATTAACTATATTTGATCTAATTAATCTAATTAAATAAATTTATGTTTTTGATTGTGTCAGCAATTTAAATATTGTTAGCCCATGCGAATTGGGTAATGATTGACTAAAGTTTTGTTGATGGATTCACTTCTAACAATAGTTGGGATCTATCAAAATATTGTGACTATTTTGATAACGATTAAAGTTTTAGAAATAATTCTTGCTAATCAAATTCTATAAAATATGTACGTCTAAAAGATGACAGATAAAGGATGGATAAGATCTACTAGTAAAAAAGTTACTAATCAGAAGTAATAGTTGATATCTTTTTTGATAATGCTGGTGATACATCTGGAAATCAAGCTTATTTCACATTGAACTTAACCTAGAGTTCGTCATCAAGAGATATTATGTAATAAAGAAATTATATATATTCTGATTTAACTCAAAATGCAAGATAAATATGCAATAGTTCAACGCCATAATATTTTGATTTCATAACATATGTAGGTACATCTCCTGTATTATATAAAGAAAAATTTAATATATCTATAGGAATTGAAACTGATGAAGATAATTAAATTCTGGGCGTTAGGAATGTATTTGTTTATGTCAAATATTGTTCACCAACTTGTAAAACATGTTCAAGTTCGACTAGTTGTCTAACATGTGTTTATGGTTCTCTATAAACAGATGGTAGTTGTACTTGTGACCCTTCTCATTAATTTGCTTAAACTGGAATTGGATGTAGATAAGAATGTGAAAGAGATTATTTTATAGCAAGATCAGATAATATTTGTGTTCCAGATAGAAGAATTAAATCACTTGTTTCGTATTTTGAATCTACAACTTTCAGTGCTTATTCTCCTTTTTAGTTTGTTCAAGATTCTGCAAATTCAAGAAGTTCTCCGTCGTTAATTTTCGATTGTTCATCTACTAAATATGTAGGTAGTTTACTTTATAGTGAGGGAATGAGTTTATAATTGGCAACTTCTTAATCCTTAAAATTTATCAGACTAAGGATTACATTTTACTTATAAGGCTTTTTGACTAATAATAGAATATAAATATTGTTAGATGACTAAATATAAGGTGAAATAATCAAGACTTCATCTGATTATAATTTTGAGAAAATTAGAAAAATTTATAGTTAAAGTGTCATATGCACAAATACTTATGATTTAATCCGAATAGAGGCAATTCTTCGAACTTACTCTAATACTCCTAAACTCATTTTAAAAGGATCATAGCTAACTTAAGCAACTTCGACATGGGGATTCAGAAATATAACAATTGATAGAGGCAATTGTAAAGAAAATTGTGAAGTATGTGCTGACTTTTCAACTTGTCAACAATGTATCAGTAATTACGTGTTATTTTAAAATGGTTGTGTCAGCGATTATCCAGTGCATTCTGCTAATTGTGTTGATTATGCAGATATGATACCAAGTAATTTTAATAATTTATTTTTAGACTCTCGATACTTAGCAAAAGGATTTTATAATTTTAATATGACTACTTCAGATCTAAACAAATTCTTCGATGAAATTATTCCAACTGGCAATAATTTCTTAACACAATAAAAATTTTCAATATTTCCTACTAAATTTGTTTTAGGAGGTGTAATGGTATGGAATAATGCAATATATAAAAAATCATGGAGTATATCCAAACCACACTATGCTGTTACAATAAGATTTAACGTCATATATGGAGATTAATATGCTGGAAATTTTTATTATACCATTTAAGGAGTAAAATCAGTTGCTCATCCCAAACCATCAACAAGTGGTTAAAACATTATTGGTATGAGTTTAAATGAAATAACTTAATATTTTGAAATTTTCCAGAATCCATTCACATCGTCTCCATTAAATATTGAGTTTCAATGTACAGATACAACTGTAGATCCAAGAGACTAATTTTGCGCAATTTCTGATTACTTTATTGTGGTATACTAAGTAAATATTTTGATTTTATTTTAAGTGTCTCCCATTTTGTTAAATTTGCAATGATGGGGTCTCTTGTGTTACTTAGGAATCTGGACATACAAGTCAAAATTGCTATACTAATTAGTTTCTATAATTTGATTCTAATTCAGAAACTTATAGTTGTATTACATGCAATTAGCCTGGATGTTTAACTAGCAAAAATTTGGAAGAATGCACTTCTTGTGATTTTTCAAAAGGGTTGAATAATGGTGTATGTTTATAATACAATAAATTCTGTGAAACTTGTAAAGGTAGTTTGAAAATAGATTGTATAATATGTGTTTAAGATTTTCAAAGATTTATATTCAACAATTAATGCTAATGTTTATCAGGCTATTATGATGATGATATTAATCTACCATGTCATCCTGTTTGTGGAGATCTTTTAGAAGTTGATGGAGAAGATTGCGATGATGGTAATAACAATCCATTTGATGGATGTCATAATTGTAAATTTGGATGTGATGCTTTTTGTTAAGTATGTATATAAGGGGTTTGCTATTTATGCTAAAAGGATTTATAAATAATAAATGTGTTGGAATTTGTGGAGATAATATAAAATCTTTTGATGAGTAATGTGATGACGGAAATATTAATTCATTTGATGGTTGTTTTGAGTGTTAATATTAATGTTAGGCTGAATGCACAGATTGTAAATTGGGATTATGCTATGATTGTTCAATAAAAGGATGGTAATTATTTAATAATTATTGTATTCCTATTTGTGGTGATGGATATGTTATTGAAGGTTTTGAGGAATGTGATGATGGAAATATAATACCATTTGATGGTTGTTTTGAATGCTAATTTTAATGTTAAATTGGTTGTATTGAGTGTTAGGAAAACTGATGCTTAAAATGTGATGAAAATTAATATTAATTTGATGTTTAAAAATTATAATGTACTTAAATTAACCATGTTGATAATGATTAAGATATAGATATGTTAACCTTATTGTTATAATAATTTACTTATTAAGATGTGGAGATAATTACTTACTAGTTGATTATATATGTGTAAATTAATGTGGAAATGGACTGCTAAGTAGTTAAAGTGAAGCATGTGATGACGGTAACAATGTTGGAGGAGATGGATGTTCAGCTTTTTGTCAAATAGAGGATAAATACTAATGTTTAAATTAAAATGGATCATTATTTCAATGCACATATATCTAAGTTCCTGAATTAAGCTTGAATTTTATTTCAAATAAATCCAACTCTATATAAGTTGTAGAATTAACTTTTACTTAAGAAGTTAAATTAAATGAAGATTTATAACTTGAAGAATTTATGCTATTTAGTATTCTTCCTCAAACACAATATAAATTGTCTATTAAAATCATTTCAAATATTACTATCAATCTAAATAATTCTAAATTTGAAATTTAAATCGAATTTTTAGAACCAATCTAAAATCCTGTTCTTTAAGTTGATATATAGAAAGATACAATTTATAATTAATTTTAAATTAGTTTAAAAGAATATTAACATATTTTTAATTTTTCTACTCCTTTTTTGCTCTAATAAGCTACTAAAGAATAATTAGCTTCAGTTTCTTAACTAAACGATGCTATGATGTATTATTCAATGGCTAGTGTATCAAGTTTGGCTTTACTTACAGGAAATGCTTATTATGTTTTTTAATTTATTAGATTTATTTTAATCTTTATCTTATCTCAGATTTATGTAATATGAATTTCCACCACATTTAACTTCATTTTTAAACGCTTATACAAAAGTCTCATTAAAACCAATTTTAAATTATTTTTAAATAGACTAGTTATTAATCAAGTTAAATAGAGGATAAACATAAAATCAACCAGATCGTAAATCTAATTAGGAAATTTTAAACTAGCTTTATTTATTCAATGTTAAAAGTTGCTACTTTTCTGTCTTTGCTTCCATTTTGAGTTATTTAATATGTTGTCTATTAGTTTCAAAAATCTTAGACAGTTTTGTTTCTACGTTAACCAAGAAACATAAGAATAATTTTAAAATCCTAAGAATAATAAATGTTTTTTAAAAAAAAGTTCAAAAGAATTGCTTGAATTTAAAAATTGAATATTTTTCTTTAGGAATTTATAAGGTATTTTAAGCCATTCTACATTAATTTATATTTAGTATATTAATTTAATTTCCAAATTATGCATTTAATACTCCATTTGAAATCTTCAATAATATTAATGCTATTTTTGGATTAATTTATATATTCAAACTAATTTATCCATTATTTACAATAACTACTTCTTAAATAAAAAATGAAAAAAAATGGAAATATTTTTATTATGAATCTAAACTTACATTTTGG